TCTATGATTGTGACCTTATTTTTGTGTGATGTCTGGTGTATTATGCACCAGTATTTTGTCCGTTTGTATACGGAAATCCCACCTGATTTTGACCATCTGATTCTCGGTGACTTTTTCAGGCTGATGTTCCCACCAGTTTGTTGCTGTTTTAATATTATAATTTTTGCACAAATTCCAATGGATCATTTGTGCTACTGAATTGATTATTATTATTATTATTATTGCTTTCTGCAGTAAGGTGAAGGTCCTCTTTAAGTTCACCAAGGTGGACAGCAGGCCCAAAGAAGATACCCAGAAGTTGTTGAGCATCTTGGGGGCTTCTGAAGAAGATAACGTGAAGCTCCTGAAGTTCTGGATGACGGGCTTGAGCAAGACCTACAAATCGCATTTGATGTCCACCGTTCGCAGTCCAACTTCTCTGGAGTCTCGGACCTAGCCTGGAGAACTCTTTTATCGATCCACTCGTTTTGTGTGGGATGAAGGAGCTCAAATATTCTGTGTCAACACTGTAGACCGACTGAAAAGCAGAGGATGAAGGAAGATCTCTTGGCCTCAAAACTATCTACATCAGGGGTATCCAGCCTTAGTGACTTTTAAGACTTTTGGACTTCAACGATGCAACATTTACAGTTTTTTATGTTACCGTGAGATTAATTCAGTTCTTTATATTTTTTTAACTGCCCAGCTACTTATTGATGAACTCTGTAAAACTTTTCTGGCAAGAAATGTAATTCCGAACATACTTTATATGGAATTTTTAAAAGGGAGAAAGATTAATAAGAGATCCTAATTTGTTAAAAGAGTTTATTTCTGTGAATATGTCAAAATATTTATAGCTACTCGTTTTCAGAGATATTTCTTAAATGTTTTATGACTTTTCCTTCATTGTGTAATTCATGGTGTTTGTGTTGAATTTTTATTTAATGTGTGTAAAAATGGAAATAATAAAAATCCACCCCCCCTCCGAAGAGAAATATCCTGTTTTTTAATCAAATGATGCTTAATATTTAACACATCCTAGGAAGCATAAAAAAAGTTTTGCTTGGCAAATTTAAATATTTCCACTAAAAGTTCCCCAAAAATGCAGGAAACCTAGCCTCTTTCTTCTATGATTGTCACTAATTTTCCTTCCCAATCATAGTTAAAGCTGTTTTTTTAACCAAGTTAAAAGGCAGTTTAGAAGAGGGACTGATCGCGTCCCTCCCATGACGACTCCAACTCCCACAAGGCCTGAAGAGCAAATTTCCGCCTGGGAATGATGGGAGTTGAAGTTCACGCGGCACTGAGGGGGAGCGGCCAGGGCGGAGAACGCATGCGTAAAGGGAAAATCCCCCCTCGGGTGTGAGAAGCGGCGCATGCGCTTTTCTTTTTTCCCTCCCAGTGGAGCGCGCGTGCGCGCCTCTCTAGGCGGGAAGATTCGAACGTGCGGCGCAGGCGCGCGCGGCCTGAGGAGACGATGTGGCGGGTGGTGCTGGCGGTTGGGCTGGGCGCGGCGCTCGAGGCGCTGCTGGACTGGCTGCTGGGGCGTCAGCGGGCGTCGTCGCCGCCGCCGCCGCCGCCGGTGAGCGAGGTCATCTTCTTCCCCTCGAAGGTGACGTGCACGGAGGAGCTGCTGGCCGGGGTGCCTTGCGTGTGCCCGCTGCCGCACGACGAGAGCGCGCTGGGCCGCCTGCTGGCGCGCGTGCTCTCGGCGCGGCGCTCGCTCGACCTCTGCCTCTTCGCCTTCTCCAGCCCGCAGCTCGGCCGCGCCGTCATCCTCCTGCACCGCCGCGGCGTCCGCATCCGAGTCATCGTCGACGCCGATTACATGGCGCTGCGCGGCTCGCAGATCGGCCCGCTGAGGACAGCCGGTAAGGGGGCGGGGCCGCGCCGCGGGGGGCGGGGCCTGAGCACCGGCGACCAATAGGGCGAGGGGGGAGGGAAAATCGGATCGAACCATCGCGCTGGTGGAATTCTGGGATTTGAAGTCGATTTCAATGGGCCAAAGGTTGAAAAATGCTCCTTTAAACCAGAGATCTTTAAACTTGGCAACTTTAAGACTGGTGGACTTCAACTCCCAGAATTACCCAGCCAGGGGTTAGGACAGTGATTCTCAACCTTGGCAACTTGAAGATGTCTGGCCTTCAACTCCCAGAATTACCCAGCCAGGGGTTAGGACAGTGATTCTCAACCTTGGCAACTTGAAGATGTCTGGCCTTCAACTCCCAGAATTACCCAGCCAGGGGTTAGGACAGTGATTCTCAACCTTGGCAACTTGAAGATGTCTGGCCTTCAACTCCCA